TCAACCCTAAACCTTGAAACCAGCCCGCCTCATCTTCCCTACAGCATTGTGGCACATGCTACCCAAAATACCTGTTAAAAGAAAAATAGGCTCCTAAAACCCTAAACCCTAAGCCCTAAACCCCAATCCCTAAACCCTAAACCCTACAACCTAAAACCTAATCCCAAACGGTATAGGCCCATGTTGGGAAAGCCAGGCCACACAACGCATCTTCCGCATCCTGGAGTACATGGCCGCAACGCCCAGAGGGAGGGCTCAGGGTTTAGGGTTTAGGGTTTAGGGTTTAGGGTTTAGGGTTTAGGGTTTAGGGTTTAGGGCTTAGGGTTTAGGGTTTGGGGTTTAGGGTTTAGGGCTTAGGGTTTCCGGATCTTTCACATCTGTGGACTAGTCCAAGAAGCACTTCGGGCTTGACTCTGGCTTTGTGCTCTGAGGGTTCAGGGTTAAGGGTTTAGGGATTGGGGTTTGGTTGAGGGCTTAGGGTTTAGGGTTTAGGGTTTCGGGTTTAGGGTTTAGGGTTTAGGGTTTAGGGTTTAGGGTTTAGGGTTTAGGGTTTAGGGTTTAGGGCTTGGGGTTTGGTTGAGGGCTTAGGGTGACACATGACCCGAAGCGACCGATCTTGGCGAGCTCTATTTTCGCTCGAAGCTTCGTTCGGGTCCCTTCTTGTTGTTCGTCCGTTTTGCTTTGGGACTCTGTTACGTATATATTCATATTCATATACATACATACATACATACATACATACATAAATACATACATGGACGAAGTAATGGAACCCGAAACCCTAAACCCTAGCCCTAAACCCCACATGCCTGGCCGCGGAGCCTCCCTGCACTGACCTGACACTTCTCGAGGATTCTGGTGTTCATCGCGTTGGCTTAGGGTGCAGGGTTTAGGGTTTAGGGTTTAGGGTTTAGGGTTTAGGGTTCAGGGTTTAGAGTTTAGAGTTTAGGGTTTAGTGTTGTTTTTACAAGGGGAAACCACGGATCTTGAGGGTTTAGGCAAGCCGGCCTTTGACCCCCCTCCGGTGATTCCTGATGTATGGGCAAGGTTCCCTAAACCCCCTCTGACACGACATACGAAACTCTGCACCCAGAACCCGTAAACTCTACACCGTCAAGAGGTAGGACTTGCGTGACTCCCTACCCTAAACCCAGTAACCCTGCAACCTTGTTCCTTACTTAGCTTCCTGGTTCTTGGTAGGGACTGCGGGATTTGGGACCCTTTTTAACCCCTTAACTCAAAGGGTATACGTTGAGGGGGGGTAAAAAGTACCTAGTTCCCTCATCCCCTACTAAAAACCGGGCCTTTTCCTAAGCCCTAAACCCTAAACCCCAAACCCTAAACCCTAAACCCTAAACCCTAAACCCTAAGGGGTATTGGGTTTCCCTTTCTCCCTGATCAGGTTCCTGTCCATGTCATCGTTCCTATGCTCCGTGGTGCGGTCATCGCGGAGAAGGCCGGTCGAGTGATTAGGGTTTTAGGGTTTAGGGTTTAGGGTTTAGGGTTTAGGGTTTAGGGATGTTCCCCCTTCTACAAACAGTCCTTAGTAAGTATTATTAGTCGGGGTACTATACTTGCCAAGAAGGACTGCCAGTATGAGGGGGAACATCCCAAGTTTTTGGGCTTTGGGCTTGCTTTTATAAGGGGGAACATTCCATATATAAGGGCTTAGGGATGTCGCGGTTTAGGGGTTTAGTAGGGTTTGGGGCGTAGGGGTTTGCGGTTTGGCGTTGAGGGATATAGGGTTTAGGGACAGAGGGGTTTAGGGTTTCGGGTTTCGTATATTCTTGGGTTTAGGGACATAGGGGTTGTGGGTTTGGGGTTTAGGGATGTGGGGGTTTAGGGTTTGGGGTTTAGGGCTAGGGTGTAGGGATGAGGGTTTGGGGTGCAGGGTTCGGTGTTTAGAATATAGGAGCTTAGGGTTTTCGGGTTTGGGGATATAGGTTTTAGGGTTTGGGGGTCAGGGTTTAGGCGTTGGGTGTTAGAGCTTCGGGGTGTATGGGTGAGAGTGCCCCTGAAGATTCTCAAGTCGCTGGACCAGACTTGTCCCGACGAGATCAGACCACAAGTTTGCGTCACTCTGAAACCCCAAGTCCCCAGAACAGAGTCGAGTGGGGACGGGTTTAGGGTTTAGGGTTTGGGTTTTGGGTTACATGACACAGCCCCGAGCCCAGAAATCCTAAGCCAAAGGGCCCCCTATAGAAGCGTTCTCCACGCAGGTGAACCGAGCGTCGATCCTGTTCGTGATGTTTGTGGACTTCGACCAGACTGCACGAAAGTGGGGCTCTCTAGGGGATTTAGGGTTTAGGGTTTAGGGTTTAGGGTTTAGGGTCTAGGGTTTAGGGTTTAGGGTTTAGGGTTTAGGGGGGGTTTAGGGTTCAGGGTTGGGATGTTCCCCCTTATGCTAACAGTCCCTAAGAGGGACTATGGGAACCCCCTTACGAGAATCCCTATGAAGGACTGTAGTACAAGGGGGGAACATCCCAAGTACAGTGTGTAAACTTAGACTCCTATGCCAGGATTCGAAACGTAGAATTTACTGGCTGTCAAGGAGTTTTCGGCTTAGGGTTTTCAAGCTTTAGGCAACCCTGAACCACTCCTTCCGAATCAATATATGGAGGGAGCGGAGTGCTAGCCCTAAACCCGAAACCCAAAGCCCTAAATCCTAAACCCTGTATGAAGACCCAGGAAATATAGGGGGGGAGGTACTGGCCTGCCTCGTCCAGTCAAGAGTTTGTAGTTCAGGCGGTTTTACCATCAACCCGAAAGCTTGAAAAGCTTGAAAGCCCTCATTAGGGTTTGGGGTTTGGGGTTCAAGGGCTTACGGTTTTGGCTTAAGGGTTTCCGGGCTTAGGGTCTGGGGTCCTCACGCTTCAACCCTAAGCCCAAAACCCTAGGCCCCCTAAAAACCCTTCGCCCAAACACCTTCTGAATAATAAACCCTAAACCCTAAACCCTAAATCCAAAACCCAAAAATCCCTGAACCCCTGAGCCCCGAAAACCTTCTGAAGAAACCTGAACCCTCAACCGTGCACCCTAAACCCCGAAAGCCTTCTGACGAGTAACCCTAAACCCTAAACCCTAAACCCCAAAAGACAGTAGCGCTGAAGAGCCCTGAGCCCTCGAAGGGCTTGGGGTTCAGGGTTTAGGGTTTAGGGTTTAGGGTTTAGGGTTTGGGGTTTGGGGTTTGGGGTTTGGGGTTTGGGGTTTAGGGTTTGGGGTTCGGGGTTTGGGGCTTGGGGTTTGGGGTGTAGGGTTTAGGGTACCCCCAAACCCCCCCCCACTGAAGACTCCCCACATGCCCCCTTGTGAGCCTCGCCAGGAAGGAGCTGGGGTCCCAGTCTGCCTCCGCACCAAGCAGTTGAATTCGGCTTCAGGATTTCGGATTGAGGGTTTAGGGTTCAGGGTTCAGGGTTTAGGGTTTAGGGTTTAGTTATATAGGGTTTTGGTTTAGGGTTAGGGTTTAGGGTTTAGGATTTATATAGGGTTTGGGTCTAGGGCTGATGGTTTGGGATTTGATTTGAATAGGTCTTGTGGTTTCGGAGTTCAGGGTGCTTCAGGACTCCATGAGTATCTTGAGGCATGTTACGAGAACCCTGGCTCCCAACCAGCAACTTCATACCTCTTCAAAGCGGCCCCTTCCCAAACCCCTACAACGCGGGCCTGGGGGGCGGCAGGGTTTAGGATTTCCTGGTGTTTGGGGCGGCAGGGTGCCATGTGTTGTGCATGATCTTGCCGGGGAGAGGTGGTGCCCTGAGAGCCCTAAAGCGTCTAAACCCTAAACCCCTAGACCCCTATACTCACTATACTCTATATATTTATGTGTGGAGAGAGTGAGAGAGAGAGAGAGAAGCCATGGCACACGGTTTTATGGAAATGGCTACGCAGCCCTGAAGCACTTGCCGGCCCATCCTTCCCCAGGCCGGAGGCATTGCTGGCGTATCTGCCACCCGGACTGAGCAGCACACTGGGTTTAGGGTTTAGGGTTGAGGGTTTAGGGTTTAGGGCTATCCTACTCTTTCAGTGTTTTTTTTGGGGGTTCAACCCTGAGGCTGTTGCTCTGCATTCGTGATCTTGGGTCTTCGGGCTTGGGGATTAGGGTGTAAGAAACATTGAGTAATCCTTTTAGTAACCTACAGGCTGAACGTTAGGATCTGCATGCCGAGGGGAGTGGACGTCCAGGGGGGGGCCGAAGCCAATCGTGAGGTTAGAGTCATGAGCGTTTTTGTTGATCTGATTTTTTTTTGTTTGGCCTTTTGGGGCAGCCAAGACCTAGGAACCACTACTTTACGAAGTTCGATGACATCTGCTCCGCGCACGAGGCAGCACCTTGTTAAGGGCAATTTTGGGGACGTAGAGGCAAAGAGCATGAGATGAGACTAAACCCTAAACCTTAAGACTCCAGAACCTTCAGGATTCAGGGTGCTACGACAGTTCTTACCATGTTGCCCAACACGTTCGTCTACCAGGATATTCCTGCATGTTCAGGCACACGCCAATGGCTCAAAGTGTTCCGGACCCACGACCCTTAGACTCTCAGTTCTTGTATTCAAGCTTGTAGGTCTCCGTGGTGTGGGGTTGTAGGTCTTAAGAGACCTTGAGACCCCCTGCTTGTGGTGAGACTGGAAGGTCACCAAAATCGAGACGGTGGGCGAAGAGTGCGCATCCAGTGATACGCGCTATGGGACGAAGCACAAAACCTGAACGCAATCCCCAAACACGTACAACACCCCACCCAACAAGAGAAGGAAAAGCCTTACAACCCACCCCCAACCCGAATGAAGCCGCAATGACCGCCTTAAGTTCAAAGCTCCCGTGGTCGGGTTTTGCATGATGTTTCAGTTTCGACCGAGTTCGTTGGTTTTTGTTGGGGAGTCGCGTTTTGGGGGGGTGAAATTGGTTGAAGATTTGCCGGGGATCTCAGATTCTTGGCCCTACCCCCACCCCTCCGGAATGCACAGTCAGAGAACCTGGATTAACCGTAAACCCTAAACCCTAAAAGGGTGGGTTGAAGTTGAACCTGAGACCCCAAACCCCTGGCCTTGAACCCTAAAGCTACAACGCCCGCAGTCGCAAAAACGCACAAGCCGCGATCTCAGGGGTTATATTAGGGTTTAGGCTTAGGGGGGTTTGGGGCTGTGGGGTTCGGGGTTGCAGTTGGGGCTTAGGGTTCAACCAATCAACTAACCTCTTTTCCCCCGCCCGGACCCCTCATTCCCCCCGCACCCCTCAATCTCCAAAGCCCTGCGCCCGCAGACCCTAAACCCTAAACCCTAAACCCTAAACCCTAAACCCTAAACCCTAAACCCTAAACCCTAAACCCTAAACCCTAAACCCTAAACCCTTTGGGGACAGGTACGTCTCGGCCGTTGGCGTGGTTCCAAGAGACATCGAGGTCGAGGGCGGTGGCCTCCCAAAACCCAAAGCCCGTATTCCTAAACCCTAAAGCCTAAACCCTAAACCCTAAACCCTAACCCCTAAACCCTAGCAGTTTAAGGGACTTTTCGAAGTTCGCAGTGGCTCATGGATGTTGCATGTCTCGTTGCACGATAGAGCTGCCTGATTGCAGAGGTTTAGCGTTTTGGGCTCCTGGGATCCGGGACTTGGGGTTCGGATGTAGAGGGTGTGAAGGTCTTGGTTTCGGGGTCAAGGCCCTTTTCTGTAAGTTTGAACCCAGGTTGAGTGCACGCAGCTGTACTTCTGCGAAGTTGTGAACACGAAACCCTAGGACTAAACCCTCAACCAGAATGCGACAGCACCACCCATCCCGGCAACCTGCACCCCAACAGGGTTTGGGTTTAGGGTTTAGGGTTTAGGGTTTGGGTGCCCTTCACTCCTAACCTCACAAGGCTTCATGAAGCAGAGCTGGTGCCCCAATCACAAGGATGAACTAGAGTTTACCCCAAATTCCTACACCCCACACCTGTCTGGGTCAGGATCCCTGGGGTGTATAGGCCCCTGCTCCAGCCACCCTAACTGCATGACGCAGTCGAAATCCAAGATTGAAGGCCTGACCCAATGATGAGCATGATGGTTGGCTCGAGTTCCTGGGCCATAAGATACCGACCACTTCAACCAATTCGATGGACAAGGGCTCGTGGTTGCGCCAACTGCTTCAGGGGATGCCCCGCAGTGCTATTGTACCATGAGCCCTGTGCGTCTTCTGAAGCCGGCTCGCTGATCGACCCGTAACCTTGATTCCTTTGCCCCCACGAACTCACCTGATTCCAGGCACTCTGTGCTGCCACAAGATTTTCGGCTACAGGGTTGCAGACCAGGTTCCTAGAATCCTTGCTTGCGGTCGTTTCGAGGTACTCCAGCGTGGCATCGGTGCGTACATGCGATGCTGGGCTCGTAGAACTGTCACAGGGAAGCCTGGCCAAGCGCTGCGCGCAGTATGTTTTGCTTGACAACTTGCAACATGTGTCAGGCTGACTTCTGAACTAGTACCAAGAGGGAGAAAACGTGTGCGGGCTCACAAGGCGAATGACGCAGTTAGGCAAGCCCGCATAGTTATACACCTCGTTGATGTGCTTGCTTGCTTTTTGGCCGGTGCTAGTACTCTCTCACAACGTTGTCCCTTAGTTCAAACGTCACGGTGGCTTTCGTTTCAACTTTGGGGTAAGCCCAAGACAACGCACGACAGACTTGAAACCCAAGCTCTGCCCTTGCTGCTGAAACAAGTTCCAAACTCTGCACAGAACTTCCGAAGACCATACTGTGCACCAACCACCAAGCATGGATCCACTACCCAGCACTTCTACCTTGTGACAGGCCGACAAAGAAATGGGCCATGCGGTTATCCTGGGGCGCTTGATCAAGGTGTCAGTTGAGCTTTGCGGGTGCAGTGAGACTTCGCTCTTTTCGGATCATTCGGATTATTTTCTGAACGTCGTGGAATGGCCCATAGGATCTATATACATAAATAAATCAACAAATCTACATATGTATGTATATATATATAGAAACATTTGTGGACATGTATAGATATATGTGTGTATACATATATGTACATATGTGTATATATATATATACGTATATATATATAATATGAACACATACACATGGCTATTGTATATTGTACATACACAGGGAGACAATGTAAGGGGATCGCATTGATAATTACTTAGGAGCATTTACGTAAACCGCAAGTACCGCCCAACCCAGTGAGACGTCCTGGCAACCACGGACTCGAGCCCTATAAGAAGGGTAGGGTTTGGGTTTAGGGTTTAGGTTTCATGGTTCACGGTTTAGGGTTTGAGGATTAGGCTTTGGGGCTTGCACTACTCGCATTCCCCAGCCCATTCCCCAACCTTTGCGCTGGGATGCCTCCTACGTAGCTAGGGTCAGGGTCCATGCAGACAAACCGACAAGCAAAAGAGGGCACCAATTTTGGCTAGCCTAAACCCTAAACCCTACACCCCAAAGTCTAAATAGGAACCCTGTTAGCCCAAGGCCCCCCCAACTTTGGAACTCCGCTTGCAAAACGCAGGCGGCCAAGGAAATTCTCAGGGTCCAGCGCGACACGCAAGGCTCCGAAGAGGAGCGCCAAACAACCTTCTTGCGGTACGTAGGAACCCTAAACCCTAAACCCTAAACCCTACACCCTAGAAGGTTTGCGGCTTGACGTGTAAGGGGCTTCGGGTTCAACATGCTTTTGGGATTTAGGTTGAAGCTGTTTGGGGCAGAGGAACTGCTTCCCCACGGTCCTATGTTGGTTAAACCCCTTCAACGCCAGAGGCGCAAACCTTATAGGGTTTAGAGTTTAGGGTTTAGGGTTTAGGGTTTCGGGTTTAGGGTTTAGGGTTTAGGAACTCGCCAGGACATGGGAAAGACAAAACTATAGGGGTCGGAATAGTTGCTAATGGTATTCCCTTACGGACCCTAGATTAAATCCACTCTAATTACCCCCAAAAGCCCCATGTTAATTGTTGAACACCCTATTTTCCGTCCCAAGCACTGAAAGCAGGAGGTAAAGTTGAAGATGGGCATTCACACAGGGCCAGTTGTGCGACGCTCACGTGCAAAGATAGGCAAGACCTGCAAGATGCAAGATCGAGAGTTGGGGGGCTTAGTATAGGGCGGTCTAGGGTTTAGGGTTTAGGGTTTAGGGTTTAGGGTTTAGGGTTTAGGGTTGAATATAGATAGGAGTCAAGCCAGCAGATAGACGTCAACTTTGCGTGGCTCTTTTGCAAGGTTCCCCCGCCTTTGACAGCATAGCCAGCGTGGGGCTGTTGCGTTTTGTTCATGACGGTTCCCACAGTCCATGTCGACAGGGTTTAGGACTTATGATTTTAGGGTTTAGGGTTTAGGGTTTAGGACTTAGGGTTTTGGGGTTTAGGGTTTAGGATTTAGGGTTTAGGGTTTAGGGTTGCTTTGTGCAGCAGAGCCTTGCAGCTAAATGCAGTGGTGGGCTTAGGGCTTAGGCTGGAGGTTTAGGGCTTAGGGTGATCCTTTTTCGGTACTTCCTCGCGGCCGATGCTCCAAGGGACCATGATATTTTTTGGGAACCCGAAGCACAGACCCTATAAATCTTAAACCCTAAACCCTAAACCCAATTTGGGTTTAGGGTTATAGGGATCCTTTTAAGGGTCTCTAAAGGGAGGATGGGAGGGAGGAGGATAATGACTTGCTGGCTCTTCCTCGCGAATTCAGGGAATTAGGCGCCATTGGGTTGAGGGTTTAGGGTTTAGGGCTACCAAACTCCCTGAACCCGAAGCCCGAAACCCTAAACCCTAACCTGCAACCCCTCAATCCCTGTTGTGAGCCCGTAGCTTACTGGGCAACTCGGGGGCGAATGACTCTCACCTGCCAAGGTGGCCGGGGTCATTGGGCAGAAGCTGCCCAGGTGCAGCCCTAAACCCCACAGCCCTACACCCTAAACCCTAAACCTTATACCCTAAACCCTAAACCCTAAACCCTAAACCCTAAACCCTAAACCCTAAACCCTAAACCCTAAACCCTAAACCCTAAACCCTAAACCCTAAACCCTAAACCCTAGACCCTAGACCCTAAACCCTAAACCCTAAACCCGAACCCCAAGCCCTAAAACCTACACTCCGCCCGTACCTGGACCATGGGTTCGTACACTAGGTAGGCCCTTCAGTACGCCCCCTGGCTGAGTGGTACCCTCTTGCCCTTTTTGGCTTCTGGGTTCCCCTTAGAAAAGTACTTAGCACCAAAAAGGGTACCCTTATCAGAATATGGTTCCTGGGGCTACCATGCCTTAAAGGGCTGAACTCAGAGGAACGAATTTGGGCACGCGTTCAGGGGGCTTCAGGGGCTTGGCGGGGGGGGGGGGGGGGGTCCGGTCCTCCCCGAGGTTTCTTAACGCTATAAGCCGAAACCCTAAGCGTACAGAAGAACCTCTGTTAGCTGGGCTTTGTAGATTACCCCTCTTGAAGCCATACTGGACATCGGGTTTAGGGCTTAGCAGGGCTGGTAGGGTTGACAAGGCCAATTGGACGAAGGGGTGGATAGGATTACTCGGGGCGAATAGGGGTATCGGATGAACAGGTTCATCGAAATCATAGGAATCATAGGATGCAGAGGACTCCTAAACCCTAAACCCTAAACCCTAAACCCTAAACCCTAAACCCTAAACCCTAAACCCTAAACCCTAAACCCTAAACCCTAAACCCTAAACCCTAAACCAGAAACCCTAAACCCTAAACCCTAAACCCTAAACCCTAAACCCTAAACCCTAAACCCTAAACCCTAAACCCTAAACCCTAAACCCTAAACAAACCCTACACCCTAAGCCCTAAACCCTAAGAGCCCCGAAAGCCCCATAAGAGATGTCGGCGCGAGGTTCCGGCTCTTTGGCGACACCATCAACACGGCCGCCCGAATCATGCAGAAGGCTTGGGCATCCCTCCCACAGGGTGCACCTACGGTATGAAACCTTTAGGGTTTAGGGTTTACGGTTTAGGGTTTAGGGTCTAGGGTTCAGGGTCTAGGGTTTAGGGTTTATAGGTTTTATTTGGGTGGTTTGTAGGGTTTGTTGGGTTTATAGGGTTTTTTGGGTTTAGAAGGTTTGGGGTTTATGAGGTTTAGGGTTTATGAGGTTTAGGGTTTAGATGGTTTTGGGTTTTCGGTGGTTTTGAGGGCTCAGGTGCTTTGGGGCTTTAGGATTCTTCGCTTGGGCTCCCGGAACTATCAGCTCCTTATGGGCCGCTCTTCTCTCCCGGTCTTGGGGGTTTAGGGTTTAGGGTTTAGGGTTTAGGGTTTAGGGTTTTAAGGCCCGAACCCGCAAGCCCTAAACCCAACCTCGAGATATTTCATAAGCAGAACATTCAACCTCGCTTCGCTGCCTAAACTTTAAAGCCTGAACCTTAGCACCACCAGCCAACCCTAAATTCTAAGAAGTACTCAACATACCCCTGGGCACACCCCTTAAAAGAAATCAAGGGGTGTGGCAAAATCCTCCCTCATGTTCTCCTTTATAGGTTCAGGGGTATGGGTTTGGGGTATGTTGAATCATTCTTAGAAAAATCAAATACCCAAGGCCCTGGCCACCCTACGCACCCGAACCCTCTAATACTCATCAGTCATGAGTCATGTATCATAAACTGTCTAAACCAAAACCCTGAAGAAGAACCTAAAGCGCCCAAACCCCTTTGCTCCCCAAACCCCATTTACTCCAAGTCTGCGCCAAATCCAAACCCCAACCTCCAAACCCTAAACCCTAAACCAATAAACCCCTAAACCCCTGAAGCCGCCCCCTCCCCCCCCCCACCCCCCCAACACCCCCAAACCCCAAAATCCCAAAACGCCCCAAGCCCCGAACAAAGATCCCTGATCCCTAATTGCCCTGCCAGGGCCTGCCCGGCGAGCTCCAGTTTGGCGAGGCTCAGCGCTTCTCCTGTGTAGGGTTTAGTGTTTGGGGTTGGGGTTTAGGGTTTGGGGTTTGGGGTTTGGGGTTTGGGGTTTAGGGCTTTTAGGGCTTTTAGGGCTTTTAGGGCGTTTTGGGTTTAGGGTCCAGGCTTCTCCAGTTGAGGGCTCTTTTTTGGAGGAGGGCGGGGGGGGAGGGGGTTAGCGGCCTGGGTTTCTTGGGACAGTTCTAGGGTTCTTGAGCTGAGGTGGAAGTGCATCGAGTTCAGGCTTTTCGGCACGTTTTGGGGGCGAGGGGTGTTCGAGAAGGCGTAGGATTCGTGTTTAGATTTGTTCCGGGCTCTTCTTGTTCATGTAGGATGCTTTTGGGCGTTTTGACTTCTGGCCTTTGCTTCGTGTTGATACTATTTGGTATTGTGGTGTGAATAAGGGCTTTGGGCTTGTGGATCGCTTTTGATCTTTTTGGGGTGGGGGGGCTTCAGGCAATGTTGGGGTCATTGCGGAGTTGGGATTGTGGGGACTTCGGCTTTGGGTAAAAGGGTGAAGGGGTTAAGGTTTTCGGGTAATTTGAGGATTCGGGGCTTTGGCGTCTAGAGCTTTGTTGCAGGGTTTAGGCTTTAATGTTGGACTCGGTTTAGTACGTAGGGGTCCCCCCCCCCCCCCCAAACAATTTTGGGGTTTTCGGGGATCCTATATAGTGTGGGCTGGGGTTGTCGTCGTCGTCGTAGTACCAGTAGTACCAGCTTCCTTTTTGGCCTCTCTAAGTTTAAACCAGATCAGCATTTTTTGCCCTTACCGGCGACCCCGGCCCGGCAAACATCGCATAATTGAGGACCACCCTAAACAATGCCGGGTCCCCTATAAGGTTTCGGAAACATCGCATAATAGTGCCCCCTCTCACTAAACCGGGTGCAACATTAGGGCCCAAGGATAGTAGTCGTTCAGAGTTGTGGGCAATCCAACCCCTGTGCACCCTAAACCCTAAACCCTATTAAGCCTCATGATACCATGAGCCCCGTGAACCTTAAGCTCTATGAACCATTCAAGAGTCCTGAACTTAAACCCTAAACCCGAAACCGTAAACCGTAAACCCTAAACCGACACACTAAATCCTACAGAAATCCTACAGAAATCCTAGACCCTTTGGCCTATCGACCTACGGTGAGGCCACAAAGTCTTGCTTGCCGAAGGGCGCGGCTACCTCGGCCTTGGGAGCTTTCACAGGAGTTTCGAGGTTTAGGGTTTAGGGTTTAGGGTTTAGGGTTTAGGGTTTAGGGTTTAGGGTTTAGGGTTTAGGGTTTAGGGTCTTGTTTCTGGTCTGAGCCAAATATCCTACAACTTGCTATAGGGCTCTAGGGCTGCACACCCTTTGTTTTAACTCTTTCGTGAATCGGGGCTTGAGCCTTCTGTTTAGGCATGGAGTGCCCTAAACCCCAACCCCCAAACCCTTGTAAGCCCCAACCCCTGAATCCTAAACTCAAGCTATAACAAGGTACCTGATACCGTACATCCCAAGCCTGAACGCTAAACCCTGAACTCTGAACCAGCCCTGAACCCTAAACCCTGGACAGAAACCCTGGAACCTAAACCCTCCACTCTAACCGTAAACCCTAAGCCCAAACCCCGAATCTCTGAAACCAAGCCCGCAGTCAGGTTTCGGGCTTTGCGGGGGTTTTGGGCCCTGAACCCGAAACCCTAAACCCTAAACCCTGAACCCTGAACCCTGAACCCTGAACCCGAAACCCCCCCAGGTAGCCTATCGCTGGCGCGACAACATTGAGATGAAGGGGAAGGGGAAGGCCGACCCTTAAGACCTTAAAGCAAGCCCCCCCTTAGGGTTCAGGGTTTAGGGTTTAGGGTTTAGGGTTTAGGGTTTAGGGTTTAGGGGGTTTAGGGTCCCTCAACCCTTTGGGTTTCAGAAAGGTTTCGGGTTTTAGGGTTTAGGGCATTCCCCAATACCGTCGGCGAACCCGAAGGCCCTCAACTGCACAAGTTGCAGATGAGAGTTTGGAGCTTTAGGGCTTAGGGTTTAGGGCTTAGGGCTTAGGGCTTAGGGCTTAGGGCTTAGGGCTTAGGGCTTAGGGCTTAGGGTTTAGGGGGTTTAGGGTCCCTCAACCCTTTGGGTTTCAGAAAGGTTTCGGGTTTTAGGGTTTAGGGCATTCCCCAATACCGTCGGCGAACCCGAAGGCCCTCAACTGCACAAGTTGCAGATGAGAGTTTGGAGCTTTAGGGCTTAGGGTTTAGGGCTTAGGGCTTAGGGCTTAGGGCTTAGGGCTTAGGGCTTAGGGCTTAGGGTTCAGGGTTTAGGGTTTCGGGTACTTATAACTCCACTTTAACTGTACTTTCAAGCCCCCTTAGTCCTCCGCGTAGGCGACAAGTAGACTTATATTTGGGGTTATGAGTACCCCATGAATCTCCAAGTAGCGTGTGACTTTAACTTAGTCTGCAAACCATGAGGGCTTAGGGTATAGGGTTTAGGGTTTAGGGTTTAGGGTTTAGGGGGGGGTGTAGGGCTTCGGGGCGCACTGTTGTGAGGGGCCCCGGCTGCCGGTAAACCTTCTGCCCCCCCCCCCCCCCCCCTGGCGTGCAAAGCAGGGAGAGTTCTGAGGACGGACGTTTCAGGGTTTAGGATTAGGGTTTAGGGTTTAGGGTTTAGGGTTTAGGGTTCAGGGTTTAGGATTAGGCCCGGGTGTAAGTTTGGTGTTCTGGGGCAAGCGGCCTGACATGAATCACAATCCCTCAGAGTACCTGCCAGCCAGAGAAGCCTTGCACCATTCCGCTAAACCCGAAACCCTAAACCCTAAACTCTAAACCCTAAACCCTAAACCCTAAACCCTTGCCACACCCCGGCCTCAGCACCGATTCCCTGGACGTCCCGAGACAGGTGCCAACCTGGCTTCTCGGGGCGGGGGAAGCAGCTTGCCAGCAGAAGGAGGGTTTAGGGTTTAGGGTTTAGGGTTTAGGGTTTAGGGTTTAGGGTTTAGGGTTGAGGGTTGAGGGTTGAGGGTTGAGGGTAGTTTGGGAGTTAGGGCTTGGATTTTGTGTGGTATAGGGTAGGACCAGAGACCCTCAGCCGACTCTGTCAGAAATTCGAGGCATCGCCATCCTCAGGGCCGGCGCCGTCCCCGCCTGGGTCACAGAACTTCGGGTGCAAACCCTAAACCCTAAACCCTAAATCCTAAACCCTCAACCCTAAACCCTAAACCCTAAACCCTAAACCCTAGAAAAGTTTGGGGGATATTTACAGATTTTCGCTTACTGGGCTTAAGAGAGAAGATTTTTGAATCTTTTTTCAGAGGGGTTTCAAGGCAACCTGTGGCCTAAGCGGTTTGAGCTTTCGGGTATTGTCGGATGGTTTTAGGGTTTAGGGTAGAGGGTTTAGGGTGTAGGGTTTAGGGTCAGGGTTTAGGACATGTAGGTCCCCGCATGTTGACCAGACCTTTCTGACCCGCAGTCAGGTCTAGCGTTCCTGGGGCTCATGGTTCAGAAGGTACCCTAAACCCTAAACCCTAAACCCGACACCCTAAACCCTAAACCCTAAACCGGTTGAATCCTGAACCCTAAGCCCTGGCTGTCACAGTCATGGCCAGGCACGACTTTGGGACAGAGGCGACCACGACCATGTACTAAGCGTCAGCTCTAAGCAGATCATCCAGTCTTCGCACGTGATGCCAGACAACGTCAAGTTGCATCATGACGATGCTGTACATGATGAGCTTGAACGGAATTTTGCGATATTTCATGATCTCACCCGATGTTATAGTCGTATGATTCCTTCCACCAGCCGTCTAACCCTAAACCCGAAACCCGAAACCCCAAACCCTAAACCCTAAACCCTAAACCCTCTGAACCCTAAGCATCCCCGGCAGGCCGCCACCGTCACCGAAGAAGGCTGCCGAGGCGTCTCCTTGCTCCCAAAGCCAGAAAGGTGCTTAAGAGGGTTTAGGGTTTAGGGTTTAGGGTGCAGGATTTTTCTAGAAAGGAGTTGGAGAGATTTGTGGCAGAACTGGTAGAGGGCTTGGTACGTTGGGACCCCCAGCTCTCGAATTCGCCACGAAGAACCAGCAAGTAAGGCCGCTCAGGTGGCGTTTAGGGGGCTTTAGGGTTCAGAGGGTTCAGAGGTTCAGAGGGTTGAGAGGGTTCAGAGGGTTTAGAGAGTTTAGGGTTTAGGGGTTTTCTGAGTCCGAAGCCCCGAACCCATGAGCTGGATTTTCCCTCGCAGGCGCGGCGCCGCGTCAGCTTCGCGGAAGATTGCAGGCCGGGCTGTTGATGATGGTTTAATATAGGGGTCGGAATAATTTCTACAAGCATTCGAATTCCCTTATGGTCCTTCTGCAATTAGACAATAGCAACCCCTCCCCCAAAAACCGTATTGTGGCTTATGAAGGCCCCTACATTAGGGGGGTTGAGGGTGCTGTGTTCAGCAACGGAGCCTCCTAAGATGCGTTTTGCCGGCATCGCTGAAAGGCTTGCGCGTTAAAAAGCTGTCTGTAGCAGAAGGGAGTCAGTAGAAGGGTTGAGGGTTTAGGGTTTCGGGTTGAGCATGACGGTTGACCGGGACAGCCTCCAGGACTTCAGGACAGGTTATTGCGTGGTATGGGTAGTGAGAAGTGCAAGGGAGGCACTGCCATCGTCCAGCTCTACTCGTGTAGTATTGACCTTCATGTGGGGTTTTCCCCAAAATAGGGTACTGTCCCCTTTTTGGGGTTCCGGAACAAAGTCGAATCTCCTGTCATGGTCAAGACTGAGGCAGCTCCAAGAGATTTCGCAGATGTTTGCGGTTTATAGGGCTTAAGGTTCAACCCTAAACCCTAAACCCTAAACCCAAACCCTAAACCCTAAACCCTACGATCCAGGTCCTCCGTATCTTCGTCCGAGCGGCCCTCCTTGACAAAGTTCTGCAATGAGAGCGCTCAGGATCGTCGACTGCATTTTAGAGGAGGGGCCCTTAAAACGGACCTTACATATTTCTGTATTTCGGTGTTGATACAAGGTCGATATAGGGGTTATATAGGGGAAGAAGATTTAAGGGTCCCTTCTAGGGGTCCCTCCTTCTACCCCTTTAGCATGCAGGCATTGAGGTTTTAATTTTAGGGAGTGAGGTATCTCAGGTTTCGGCTTGGTGTTCCCATGGCACTTTTGAACACGAACATGGGTTAAGAACACTGAGAAAAAGAGGTTCAAGTTGAGGCGCAAATCCGATCTTGAATCACCAAAAGCCAGGCAGAAGACACCCGACGCCCTAAGCCCTAAACCCGAAACTAAACCCCCCTGACCTAGAGACCCGTTTCCCTAAACCCTGAACCCTAATTCCTAAACCATAAACCCTAAACCCTATACACCCTAAACCCTAAACCCCAATTAAGCCGTTAACCCAGGGACCCTTCTCCTTGAGCTCCTCCCTCTCCAGGCCACGAGGACCGCGGAGGACGAAGACTCCGATTCGGCTTCGGCGAATTTGGCGAAGCAGCTTTCCTTGAGGCGGGAAACCCCCCCGCCATGTCCACCAATTTAGGGGTTTAGGGTTTAGGGTTTAGGATTCAGGGTTTAGGGTTTAGGGTGTAGGGGGTGAGAAGAAATCACGGTTTCTGGGGGTCAATCACAACATGCAACCTTCTATAGCCTCATGGAAGCTTTGGTTTTTGCAGAGGGCCCCCAATGAAATCCACCCTAGCTCAACCCCCCCCCCCCTCCCTGTAAACCGCAAGCCCTCAAACGGGGTTTGGGACTGGGTTCTTGCTTCTTTACCGGAATCTTGAAACCCTACTTAGTCTAGGCCAATTGTTGCCCCTTTTTGTGTTCTAGGCTCCTTAGAATGTAAGAAAACGAGAAACAAGGGTACTCTTCAAGTTTTGGTTGAATGACCAAAATTCAAGTGATACTAGATTCATCTCATAATGTGGTTCCTGGGCTACCAAGCCTGCAGCTCGAAACTCAGAGTTCAGGGTTTTAGGGCTTAGGGTTTAGGGTTTAGGTTTTTGGCGTGAGCTGCCGCCCCCCAAAAGACCTGGAGGTCTCCCTGCACTCTCTGCCTCCCAGCCCTACAACCCCCCCCCCCCCCCTTCCCCCGGAACAAGAAAGCAAGAATGCTCAGATAGAATCCAAAACGATGAATCCCCAACAGTCACGGTCAGGAACCGCGAAACTGCGGAGCCTCGACAGAAGCGCGCCACACAAGCCAGGCGACTGCAACTGGGGATTCTGGCGAGGAATTCACGTTGGGGCTTAATTATGCTTTTCTCGGGCTGATAGGGCATGTCCGCATGCTGGGGCAAGCAGATTATGTAGGGTGTATAAATGTAATTGAGTACATAAATAAGGTCTTCACATTCAGCAGCCGCTCTCAGTCTCTGGTCATCCTGAGGTCCTGTGTGCGAGGGGCGGTCACCATCAGAGACCCCCAAGCCTGCCCCAAAAGCCTTCCTGAAGCCCATAACCCTAGGGCTTTGAAACCCATCGCCCTAAACCCTAAACCCCAAACCCGAAACCCTAAACCCTAAACCCTAAACCCTAAACCCCAAGCATTGTTTAAACCCAGCTGCCTGGCTTGCTTTTCATCCTTCACCCTGACCCAAAAATCTCCCAATGCAGGCCCTCCGCGGACCAGGCCGGGCGGAAGTATCAGGGGCCAACACCTGAACTTTAAGCTTTTTAGGCTTCCTTGCTTAGTAGGAATAATAAAGTTTATCCTTTCTTGCCTTGATTATTGGAGAACTAAGGTGATCCCTACACCCCTCAAAACCTGCCCAAACCTAGAAACTGAGCACCCCTCGGATACTTCTTTATACCATCCTTGGATCAACCTTCCCCCCCTCCCCCCAAAGCCCGTGTGCTCTTGCAGTTCGCAAGGCATGGCCGTGGAAATTTCGGATGCTACTGGTTGTAAATCGATGCTTCTTTCTGGAGGCTTTGACATCATGGTGATGCTATTCCGCATGGACAACATGACATGCCCATGGCAGCTTGCGCAACCCAGATCGAAAGCAGGTTCGAGTATTGCTGGAACTGCATGACGAAGGTCACGCGTGAGGGGCCTTACCAGGTTGCAAAAAGGCAGCTGTTCACGAGGACCGCACACATGCATTGGAGATCTGATACAAAAATGGAAGCCCTTCATCAGGGACTCAGTGGCAAAAGGCTTACCCCCAGCTGGTGTGTGCTGCCAAGAGCCAAAGCTTGCGAAACCCTTAGTTAAGGGATGTCCTGCACACCCTGTAGACCCTCAATCAAGGGGCATCTCATGCATCATAGTTGCACCCATGACCCACAGTCTGACAGAGATACTCCAGTTTTAGGAATCTTCCTTCATCAAGGGGTCTCAGGTCCTAAGCCCTCAGCCCTGAAACCGAAACTAAGTGAGGGGTCGCCTCTTTAGGGGGTCCTTAGCGCATCCTAAACTCGAAAGCTCGAAAGGGCAAGCGCCTAGTGGAGAGGTCATCGAGATGGCTTCGGTGGGTAGCACGCCCTCCGGTGCCAGACGGGCCAGTATCCTGAGGCTGGCTAGTGTGTTTCCAGGTTTGTGTCGGGGTACGGGTATGGGGTTTAGAACAATTCGGGCCTTTGGGTTACGCCCCTGCAGGCCATGATGGGTTTAGGGCAAACCCTAGCCCGAACCCCCAAACCCTACAAACGTGTATTTTGGGTATTCCAAGACCATGTCTCTCTGCGCAGGCGCTCCTCACGGAGCTCCACAACAGACGAGGAGGTTGACGCCGTGCATTCTTGTAAGCCATTCGCATAAAACCCCTTCTCGGATTCCCAGGTAACCTACAAAAAATGTTGGTTTTGGGTTCTTAAGGCCGGGGTTAGAGTTTGGGTGCAGCGCTTTGGGCGGTGCTTTCGGGAGCCACCAGCTGCTGTTGACGGAACCTAGTCTGGCGTCAGGGCTTTGTCGAACCTTGGAGTTTAGATGGTTTCGGGAATTGGATTCGGAGTCTTCTCTTCATGGGGGTTGTTCAGTACGGTTCCGTCACAATTACCACGCGCGAGTTTTCCGGATGATGGCCCTCAACCCTGAACTACCCAGCTCTAAAACCTTAAATTCCCAAGCCGCAAACCCAAGGTCTAGAAACATCAAAGCCTAAATTCTATAAGTCAATAGATGGCTTATCTTGAACTTGTATGTGCACTGTAGGTTATCTTGTGTAAGTATATATATATATATAAAGATGTACAGAAACAAAGAAATGCATCAGTATATTTATATTTATTCATATATATATATGTATATATACTCATTCGTTTTACATCTATATCTATTTATCTGTCTATACATATATATATATATATACATATGTGTGCATATTTATGCTGTAGGATACCCTCTGCTTTGGGGTTTTCGCAAGGCTGCTGCATCGTCGCACTCGCTCCTCGGCTCGCAGGTGCCAACTGCGAGTTTTTGTTTGGCTAGAAGCTTGGTGCTCAGGGAAAGAGTTCAGAGTTTAGGGTTTGGGGTTTAGGGTTTGGGGTTCAGGGTGTAGGCTTTGGGGCTAGGGTAGGGTTTGAGGTTTAGCGGTTTGGTTTAGGGTGAGGGTCGGATGTGCGATATACCTGTTTGTTATTGTTGTATCCCTGCTTGAGATCCTTAGCAACCCGTTGTTTTGCTGCAAAGCCCGTCGTCCTGACAATAATAGCGTCTTCGGTTTCAAGCTTTTGCGGACTCTGAATCGCTTGGCTGACCCACAAGCGCTCAAACCCTGACCCTAAGACCCTCAAGCCCTCAGCCATCTGATTCTATACAACCCCAAGAACTCCCCCCAAACTCCAAAGCCCAAGCCCTAAACCCTATACCCTGTACCCTAAACCCCAGCAAGATTGCCGGTTGCCCGCATCTGCGCAAATCTTGCGGACCAGGCTTGACATGATGCGAGAGAGCAACACAAGCAACACCAGGCACAGGCACGCAATCCGACATGCGCACTGCAGCTCATGACTCTAAACGCTCAAACCCCGAAACCCTAGATTTCGACCTTCAAACCCTTGCATTCCCTATGCCCTATGCCTTAGGAAGCCCTGTGAATTTCTACCCGTCTAGGGTTTAGGGTTTAGGGTTTAGGGCTGTGACTATCGCTCCTTGCGGCTGGCTAGCGTTCGCGACGCTGGCGTGCCAGAGGCTGAGCTCTTGGCCCTCAAAGCCTCGGCAAGCGGGTGCCGGGTTTGGATTTCGGGGATACGGATGCGAGACTCGAAGTGGGGCTTTGGACCGTGTCCGCCCCAAAACCCCAAGACCCCAAAACCCCACAGCCCCAAAACCCCAAGACGCCAAGACGCCCCAAAACCCAAAAACCCCAAGACGCCCCAAAACCCAAAGACCCCACAACCCAAAACACCCAAGAACCCAAAACCCCAAAACCCAAAAAATCCCAAATCCTTTCGGGCTGAGAATCGCCTTCTCTCAGAGACACTTAGGAGATCTTTGGCATGGCTACCCGAAGTCGCTCGCCAAGTGCCGGGACCTTGCGGCGTTTGCCCCGAGGGGGCGCGCACGACTGCTTGGATACTAGGATGGGTTTCAGGGTTTAGGGGTTACCCTAAACCCTAAACCCTAAACCCGATTTAGAATTCTAAGCTGTGGGTCTGAGAGTTTTGGGTTTCAGATCTCTGCAGAATTGAGGTGAGTGGCTGCTCAGGGAGTTAAATTTTGGGCTGCTTCAGGATGTTTGCAGGGTTCGGGAGGATTTGTTTTAAACCCTAAATGATTTGTTCTTGCCTGTTTTGGTATTGAGCTTAGAGGTATTTTTCGGTCAGGCATGCTGGCCTTAGGACATGCAATGCTGCATCTCAGTCTTTTCGTAGTAGGACATGAGGGAGCTTGGCACTTTACATCCTCCTACATGACGCCAGAAGGGGGTATGCAGGGATCCCAATGCCCTAGTTAACTTTCGATTGAGAATTAGTAAGGCAGTCTTAGAGGTAGCATCTCATCGAGACCCGGTATAAACAATCCTTGAGGAGAAGAACAACGAATCACGCAAAAACCCCAACCACCTCAAAACTGCATTCCAAAGCCAGGGGCCCCGGTGTGTCTGTTTGTCCCTGTCTGTGTCTGTGTCGGCGTCCGTGTCTCTGTCGGGTCTCTGTCCGTGTCTCTGTCAGCGCGCGCGCGTGCGTGCCTGACGTACGTGCGGGCGTGCGGGCGTGCGGCCGTGAGTGGTTGGGTGGGTGGGTGGGGGAGGGTGGGAGGGTGGAAGGGTGGGTGGGAGGGTGGGTGGGAGGGTGTGTGTGTGTGTGTGTGTGTGTGTGTGTCCGCGGGTGTCGATGCTTTGTGGCTTTAGCTTTGATCCCTGGAAACCTTCATAGCCTCGTCGGGATTCTTGTTTAGGTTGTTTTCGGATGTGTGGATTGATGGATTCTGGGCTGAGGGCTAAGGGAGATACCGAGGCACGACTGCTGGCGCCGCCCTCCCTGCATGTGGAGCTTGAGGCGCCAGTCTTGGCGTTGTCAGAGCCGGTGTTTTGAAGCCCCTAAGCCCTTAACATTACACATTAAGCCCAAACCCTAAACCCTACACCCTAACCCCGAACCCCTAAAACCTAAACCATAAACCCGAGCCTCAGATTCTAATTCACATCTGGGAGCCCCCCTCTCGAGGTTGCAGGGATCGGTCGCATGGCGCACTATTGGGTTTAGGGTTTAGGGCTTAGGGTTTAGGGTTTAGGGTTTAGGGTTTTAGGGTTTTAGGGTTTTAGGGTTTTAGGGTTTAGGGTTTAGGGTTTAGGGCCGCCCCGCTTGGAGGTTCATGGTACTTATGTACTGCTTAGAACTGTACTTAGGGTTTGAGATTGCCCTCGTCCTGGAAAGCGCTTCGAATTTGTGGGGCTTGGGGTTTCAGGTACACCCTAAACCCTAAACCCTAAACCGTAAATCCTAACCCCTAAACCCTAAACCCTAAACCCTAAACAGCAAGACCTTGAAGAGGCACCACGAAACCTCTAAAACACCACGAAACAAGCTCCCTGTGCCTCAGGAGGCATCGGTGCAGGAGCAGGCCCAGCTTCGCTGGAGTTCGGTCAGGTTTTAGGGTTTAGGGTTTAGGGTTTAGGGTTTAGGGTTTAGGGTTTAGGGTTTAGGGTTTAGGGTTTAGGGTTTAGGGTTTAGATCCCCGGCCCTGACCCCGAAGTATCCTTAGCCCTCTAGCAGACCCTGCCTCGATTGTCGAGATCCGAAATGGGGGTTTACGAAAAATGGGGGACCCCCAAAATATAGATCCCCAAATGATCCCCAAACATTAGGGTTTAGGGTTTAGGGTTTAGGATATTATAGATCCCCAAATAGTAGGCTCCCGTCTAATCAGGGCTCAATAAGGTACCCCTGATTTCGGAAACACCCACATGAAAGGCAGTGGCGAAAGAAGAACTTCGCGCACGAGTTACCTGCGTTGCGCGCGGTTTAGGGATTGCAGGGCTCAGGCCGCTGAAGGATGTTGAACCCTAGCTCCAACCCTTAGACCGGCACCCATTTAGGAAATTCAGCAGTCAAGGGTGTTAGGGTTTAGGGTTTAGGGTTTGAAGTTTGGGGTTTAGGGGGACCCTTGAGTCCTTCACCGACATTTGTGGGTTGCGTTGCAGTTCAGGGCTTCAACTTTAGGTTGAAACCCTAAACCCTACACCCTAAACCCTAAGCCCTCCCCGACAAGTGGCAGGCACGTCGCGTGGAGAGTCTTCTCCCGGCCCTGGCCTCAGGAGTCTCGCAGGGGCGTAGAGGATTTCGAGTTTGCGCTGGCAGGGTTTAGGGTGTAGGGTTTAGGGTTCAGGGCTTAATTAGGGTTCAGGGTTTAGGGTGTTGGGTTTTGGGCGGTTTTTTGGGGGGCGGGGGGGGTTGGGGGTTGGGCGTTTAGGGTTTGGGGTTGAGGGATTTTCACGAAAGCTGGCATCGCTAGGCTTGCGTTGAGGCTCGGCTTGAGCAGGACGGTCAAAGACCTCTCTCATACATGCTCGTGCTCCACCCTAAACCCGAAACCCTAAACCCTAAACCCGAAACCCTAAACCCTAAAAGAGATTGGAGCACTGTCAAAGAGTCAGGGACAGTGGTGAGTTCCTCCTCGTCATGGTTGCCCACCCGGGCCCGGCTGTTAAGGGAGGAGTTCGGCGCTACTTGTAGGGTGGGACTCCGGTGTGACAAGCCAAGGGAAGGGTCAAAGCAAGTAGGGTTCAGGGATGTATGGGCTTCCGTCAGGGTTTGGGGTGGAGGGTCAGGTTTCCACTTGGGATTGTGGACCCCAAGCCCGGAGACCACGCGTGGGCCTTTCAACCCGAGTAAGTGCATGAAGTGCATGCTCGGCGAGCATGCCCGTGCCGGGCCGAGCATGCCCCCAAACCCTAAGCCCGAAACCCGAAACCCGAAACCCTAAACCCTAAACCCTAAACCCCAAACCCTAGACCCTAAACCCTAAACCCTAAACCCTAAACCCTAAACCCTAAACCCTGAAGGGTGTTGTCTTAAGGGAGCTTTAGGGGGGTGCTTAGCACCAAAAGCCGGAAGACCCAGGAAAACATCCAGAGCCGACTCCGCGGCATGGTCGCAGAGGCACTGTGAGTCAGGGTTTAGGGTTTAGGGTTTAGGGTTTAGGGTTTAGGGTTTAGGGTTTAGGGTTTAGGGTTTAGGGATTAGGGTTTAGGGTTTAGGGTTTAGGGTTCAGGGTTCAGGGTTCAGGGTTGAGGGTTGAGGGTTTAGGTTGAAGAGGGTTTTGGTGTTTTGTTGAGGCAGCTTTCTGTTTTTTCTCGAGGGAGGGGTTTGAGTTTTTGTTTGAGGGTCGTTTGGGGCCTATAGCTTTCACAGGGCTTTAAGGTTTGTAGGTTTTTTTGGGGGTTTGTGGGTTCTTGGGGGTTAATAGGGTTTATGGGGTTTATCGGGCTTATAGGGTTTATAGGGTCTTCAAGGCTTATCGGATTTATAGGTTTTTGTTGGGGCTCATAGGGCTTTTTAGGTTTTTTGTTGGATTTATAGGGTTTACAGGGTTTGTAATGTTTGTTGGGCGGTTTAAGGTTTATGGGTTTTTTCGGGTTTATAGCGCTTTTCGGGTTATAAGGTTTATGGGGTTCATGGGGTTTATGGGGCTGCCGCGGCTTCGTTTGATAGCGGGTTCCTGCCATTTCCTGCCTACGGGGCCCTTTTGCTGAAATGTCTCTCTGTCTAGGGTTAGTAATGTTTGTTGGCTCATGTTGGAGGCTTAGGGGAACTCTTTCGGAACATTGGGGGTGCTCTCGCACCTCGTCAAAACTGTCCTTTGTGAGCCTAGGACCCTAAGACCCTTGGAGGGTCTTACAAGCTTCCAAACCCTTAAACTCCAAACCCTAAACCCCAAACCCTCAACCCTAATCCCCAAACCCTAAACCCTAAACCCCAAGCTCTAAACTCCAAACCCTAAACCCCAAGCCCTAAA